TTTTTTTTTTTTTAATTGAAGTCATTGCTACTGGCACAAGTGATACTTGTCCTCCTTCCTGTCTATGACATTGTTTCTTTCTGGCATAGCTAGAGACCTCCTTAGGACATGCCATCCTATTTTCTCAAGGTCAGATCAGATAAAATAAAAAGTCCAAGTGAGAGACACATTAGACAGTACTTATTCCCCAGAGCATCTTCATGGCACAGATGCATAAAAAAATCGGAACAGACTCATTTGCATAGAAGCTAAACAGCTATATTAAATCTTATTTTAAGAGTTTCCTTTTACCTTTGCTTCGTAACCATTAACAACTTCTGCTTTATCTGTCCTCCAGCCCCAGAATCCGGATTTAGTTCTGATAAAAAGTGAACACCACAAATTTCTACATGTACAATATGCCATTCAGATTTATCCCTGCAGCCTTTATAGTTTTCTTCCCCCAGCTTAAGTTAGTGAAGGATACTTGGAAATCATGGTCCTACTATCCACAAAAGGATGCTATCAACGACAGATGGCTTAAACATCCCCCACCCCCTCCCACAGCTACTAATCAATTTGCCTCACCCTAGGCAAAGAAAGCCTCCATGCTTGGCTTCTTTATAAGAACAACCAGCACAGGGGACAAAGGTGATGACATTTATTGGACAGCTGTCCTAAAGAAGTGAGTGAAGACAACCAGCATCCAAGGGCTCGCCACAAGTGGTATCTAGGTCACAGTATTTACTTGGGTCATCTTAACTGTGGGCATGGACGTCAGTGGTGCATCTCCATAAGCAGCCACATCGTTGTTGTTTTTTTTTTAAGAGACAAAGTCTCACTTTGTCACCCCTGATAAAGTGCCACTGCATCACAGCTCACAGCAACCTCCAGCTCTTGGGCTTAGGCAATTCTCTTGCCTCAGCCTCCTGAGTGGCGGGGACTACAGGCGCCCACCACAACGCCTGCTATTTTTTTGTTGTAGTTTGGCCAGGGCCAGGTTCGAACTCACCACCCACGGTATATAGAGCTGGCGCCCTACTCACTGAGCCACAGGCGCTGCCCAAGCAGCCACATCTTAATCAAGGAATTCTTAGAACAATGAGGCACAGACCATCCTTCTCCTTGGAGGAGTGCAGGTAGTCCAGGAAATCATTACTCTGGCAAGCTGCTTGGAGAAGCCATTAATGCCTACAAAAAGGCTTGTGGGTCACTTGCTTTGTCAGATTTGGTGCGGCAGGGAGAAAAGATTCAAAAAGCTGTTTGTCAGCCCTGCTCTTCATCAAAGCTCTGTGGAACTGACTTCAAAGTAGCCCAGCATTCCAGCAGCAACCTTAGGAATATATCCCAAAACCCAGCTGTTCAACTCAACATACTCCTGAAAAAAATGCATTTAGAAATCAAAAGCAGCCAACAGAAGTGCATTAATGTACATAGTTACCATTCAATTAAAAAAAAAAAAAAGCAGCCAAGAGGCTCTGATTCTTTTTCCAAGCAGCTTGTGCTAGGAAATACTACCTCTCCTAAGGGACTGTTGACATGCTCTGCCCTTTGTCTAGGACATCACATCCTAGCTCCACTTGGCCCTGGGTAGGGCAATAGCCTGCCTTCTGCTCTGACTCCCAAGTGAAGTGGGACGTCACGCAGGAAGCTCAGGGAATAGCAGGAGGTTAGCCATGTCACAAAGAACATATGTGGTTATTTGCATTTTGTGTTTTCAGTTTGTTTTTCTCCTAATGGGATTTAGTAAATGAAATTAGTCCAGATGGGGTTCAAAAGAGTTTATATATGGATTTTAGCCCATTGGAAAAGGAGGGACCAGTGCTTTTATTTTCCTGCTGGTTGTCTACAATTAATGCAACCTGACTGATGGAGAGAAAGAGAGGAATCCTAAACAGACTGCATCAAAGGCTACCGGTCTCCAATGTACACTTCAGAAACAAAAACAACAGCTACTGGGGAAGGGGGTTGGGACCACATTCAACCAATTAATAAACCAGCCTCCTATCAGCCATCAATACTTGAAAATGCAGATACTCCTTTTTATTCAACCCTCAGTTCCTTGTTTGCTTAAGTCATTTGATATTCTGGCAGAGAAAATCACTGTTTTCTGGCACAGAGTCCAATGGGGGACTAAAGGCGACCTATGTCCACCTCACTCTTCTTTCACGCTAAGAAGACGGAGCCACACCTTTCTTCCCAAGAACCACCATGCTCCTCACTTGGCGGCATCTGCTCCATCAAACCTGCCTTCTACTCCCCTTTGCATTTCCACTCTCTGACAGCAGTTTTGTTATTAAACTCAATGTCTACACCCATTTTCAATTTTCTTTTTTTTTAATTTTTATTTATTTATTTATTTTTATTGAGACAGGGTCTCACTTTGTGGCACTTGGTAGAGTGCTGTAGCATCACAGCTCACAGCAACCTCCAACTCTTGGGCTCAAATGATCCTTTTGCCTCAGCCTCCCAAGTAGCTGGGACTACAGGCACCGGCCAGGACACCTGTTTTTTTTTTCCTTTTTTTTTTTTTAAGAGATGAGGTCTCACTCTGGCTCAGGCTGGTCTCAAACTCCTGAGCTCAGAGCAATCCACCCTCCTCAGCCTCCCAGTGCTAGGATTACAGGCATGAGCCACTGCACCTGCCTACACCCGTTTTCAAATCAAGATCCTCAGGACTCCTTGGCTCTTTAGTAACTTTGCATGAAAGAATATCCGGAGATGATAGGACACCCAGCTCCTCCTCTTGGGCCACGTTTACCTCTGTCCTCACTGAAACCATCACACCAAAGGCCACCTGGCAGGCACTGTATCTTGGTGGCTACTACACAATTTGGAGAAAGGCCCTGAAGGTGGAAGGGAATATTCTCTTTGAGGTAGACAGAGCATAATTTTTCAAAGAGAAAAATCCAAACTGCAACCAGACAGTATATACTGTATGCTAAAAATGCATTGGAGGAAGGTTTTAACTTGTAAGCCCCAAGCTCTAAGTAACAGATTAGAAAGGATAGACAAAAGACTGTCATAAAATAAGAGAGTGCCATGCCTTCCAAATTCAACTGAAGGAATGCTCACGCCTCTGGTTAGAAGCAGACGTGTACACTTTTTGCACTAGCAAACCTCATTCTCAAGAGAGGCTCATGGCACGGCGCCTGTGGCTCAAGTGGCTAAGGCGCCAGCCATATAAACCAGAGCTGGCGGGTGCCTATAGTCCCAGCTACTTGGGAGGCTGAGGCAAGAGAATCACTTAAGCCCAGGAGTTTGAGGTTGCTGTAAGCTGTGATGCCATAGCACTCTAACCAGGGGGATAGCTTGAGGCTCTGTCTCAAAAAAAAAAAAGAGTGGCTCAAATCCTTCCTTGTTGCTCAGCAAGTTCACTTATCATACACTGAACTCTGACCACCATAAAGAAAAAGCTGTCTTCCAGAAATTCTCTCAGCAACACACTGTCAGTTGCAAAAGGAGAATGAGCTTGAACAGTTTGAAAACCCTGTGACCATACAAATACAAAAAGTCCTTAGCAAAATGGAATGTGCTGTCACTTCCCATCTATGCTCAGTGGGGTAAAAGCCAGTGATCATCACATTTGCTTCATAAATTACAGTTAATAACAAACAACAACTCCAGCAACTTTGCCATTGAACTATATGGGGAACAATATCTCTTCTTAAGACATTGAAGAATCACAGGCATCAAAGACTTCATCTCCAGATTCACTCCTTTTTTGTCTTTCAGCTAAGGAAACAGAAAACCAGAGAGATTAGGCCACTTGTCCAAAGTTGCACAGCTCTTTAGTAGTCCTGCTGATAGCATTCATTTCCTCCAATTCTCACTCCTACCTCCTCTATCTTCCAGCACTGCAAAGAGAGCCCTAAACTGAAGTGTCCTCACTATCTGCAGAGGTATGTACTGAAGCTACATGTGTCTTTCTAAGACCCTCCCAGGTAAAGCCAGTCAGTCTCTAAACTCTGCTATTCCTGGAAGACAACAGAGTCTGGCACAAGAAGGCTGACCGTGCCCAGGAGACATGATGCTCCTACCGAAGCCACAGTAGCACCTGGACACCACACAAGCTGGATGTTCTGGGTTTTTCTTCTGCTACAAACAGCCTAATTCCATGGTTCTGTCTAAACTAGAACAGTGCACTTAACAAGTTTTATGTTTGACTAAACAAAAAACTTTCAGTTTTATTAACCAATTTTATATTGGAAACAAATAAGAAATAGAAAATGAAAAGATAATTAGGATAATCACTGAGAGACAAGAAAGCCTAAATCTGGGATAATGTGCCCATTTTAGCTCAAGTTATGCTACTTTGGCTTACATAGAGCTCGATGTGACATCCTAGGCAAACACTACAAGGGCTCTTATGGACTCCCTCAGCTTTGACAGGCTCTACTTCCTTTCATTCAAAGGCTCTCCATGTTCTCTCATGACCCAGAGGAGGATGACCAGTGACAGTGTCCTTATCTGGATCAACTGAAGCACAGACCTCTCTAGAGAATTATGCTCATAGAGTCTGGAATAGAACTGAACATTCTCCTAACTCTTGCTCTAAACTTCTATGCCTCACAGGTAGGAAAAAGAACCACATTTAACTATATAGTAAGTGTGACTTTGACTGACATTAGTACAACCAAATTCAATACTAGGTCAATTCTAGCTTCTAGAAATGCAAAGCTCTGTGGTTTGGAATTAGGGAGTGTTATAGGTCCACAAATCACAAGACAAAAATAAGATAAGTAAAGTCCACTAGAAAGGGCCCATAAAAGAACATGAAGACATTCTCCAAGAGTTAACCAATGCGCTATAAAAATGATAGACAACGTAGAATGATAGCTACAGTTTCCATTTGGTTACAGCGAAGATCAATCTTAAAACCCGTGAGTGTTTGTTATTTCATATTAGAAAAACCCTGATCCACCCATAATTTCCAATTAATACAATACATGTCACTAAAGATGGCAGCACAGGGAATAGACATTAAAATTCAGAGTCTAAATTCATACCTTTCAAAAGCAATATTTTTAGTATCGAGGCTGGTGTTAATGACTGGGCTTGTGAGCCGCCGCTCAACTTCCCTACTTTTTGGCTTCATTAAGTCCAGAGTGAGACGTTCCATTTCTTGGGAAAGGTCAAAGTGTTCAGTAGTCACCACTTTGTCATCATGGTTGACTTCCATCAACTCCGCCCAGTTGTCTGTTAATGGAAACAAGGGCATAATATTTAAGCACAAAGCAAGTTAGAGCCCACATGAGGAAACCTCATATGTGAAAATTCATTGTCTTTCTCACTTCTCCTTTCAGGTCTATGCGATAAACCCAAAAGTGTACTGATTACCAATTACTTACCTGGGTAGCAATTATCTGGCCAGCTTCTCATCATTCATAGGAAGCTCTGAGCCATCTTCCCCAAAGATGCAGCATGCCTGATAATTTGCTTTATAGTTAACATGTTTCATCTATGCCCTTTATAAAATATGTATATTATTACAGAATTAATATAAATTATGCATGCACAACATTGGGTGGGCAATGCCATTTCTCACCCTCCATTAGGAGGACCATGCCTGATCATGGGAGGAAGACACACAGACACACCACAGAAAGCTTGTGCTTAAAGACTCAGGAAAATGAGAAAGACATGTCAGAAGGGTAAAAGTGCTGGGCAGTAAAGGACACATGTAGGAGAACTAGCCAGAGCTGAATAATCAAAAAAAGACATGCCCCACAAAAGCTCAGACAGAAAAGGCATATAAACGTGAACACATACGGATGGTTAAAAATCACTCTGTAATTTAGCTTGAGCACCAATTACTAGAATGGAATTGCTCACCTTCTCCCTTAAATATAAAACTACGCCTCCCTCTTATCCAGCTCATATTTTCAAATCCCAGCAACGTGATATCGACACGCAGTTTGGCACCGCTTTTCCAAATGCGACAGACATCATTTGGGCATATTCTGGAAACCAACGGCACTGGAGGAGAGAAGCAAACTACTGAGAAAAATCCAAGGACCAAGCAGAACACCCAGGCCAGGAAATCAAGGGTCTGACTTTAACAAAAGGAAGGGGGCAGCAAGATGGTGACTATCAAATAGAATTGGATTTCTTGCTGCTACATTTATCATACAGGGAAGTCCCTCTCAAAAAAATAAAAATGGACCTTCTATTCCATTTGTCAGAGAAAACTCTAAACAAATTTCCCAAGAGTATTCTCAATCCCAAAATGAACCCACTTATCAACCCCCACCAGAGCTATAGATCATGTCCATCTGGCCTTTCTCTTTCATATATGCTACTCTTGCCATATGGCTTTGGCCTACCATATTGTCATAGCCACCATTTGGAATATCAAATGTCTAAAATAAGGCTGCTTCTTACCAAACCCAAAGTTAGAATGATCATTTGCATCAGAAAAGAACTCTTTAGTTCCTCAGAACAATCTGAAGTTCTCTTCCTTTATATACTTTTTTTTTTTTGCTGTTCTGGCTGGGGCTGGGCTTGAATCCGTCACCCCCAGCATATGGGGCTGGCACCCTACTCCTTGAACCACAGGCTCTGCCCTCTTTTATATACTTTTTACTTCATTTAAATGTTTCCTATACATATGACCTCTTGCCTGAAAGGGAAGTCTGGAAATGAAAATGGCTGAAACCCTAGGAGTTAGGAATTAACTGATCTACAAGAAATAAAAGTAGAATATCTATGAAAACATACTGTCAGTCAACTGCCTTCTATGATACTTTGTAGAAAAAAATCCATTTTGTAAAAAAGCAAGCATTCCAATATTCACCTCTTCTTTAGAATAACAAGTTTAAAAGAATCAACTTAAACCATACAAGGAAGTAGGTTATGATAAATCTACTTACTAAAATGTTAGTATGTTTTTTCTTTTTTTTTTTTGAAACAGAGTCTCACCATGGTGCCCCTGGTGGAGTACCCGAGCATAACAGTTCACAGCAAATTCAAACTCTTGGGCTTAAGTGATTCTCCTGCCTCAGCCTCCTGAGTAGCTGGGACTACAGGCGCCTGCCACAACACCCGGCTCTTTTTTAGTTGTAGTTGCCATTGTTGTTTGGCAGGCCTGGGCTAGGTTCAAACCCGCCAGCTCTGGTGTGTGTGGCTGATGCCCTGGCCTCTGAGCTACAGGTGCTGAGCCTAAAATTTTAGTAATTTAAAGTGACATGTTAAAAACTAATAATTTGGATGTCAGCGTAAGCAATGAAAGGTGAAAACAAAACTGTCTACATACTATATTTATAGATGCTTAGAGGGAAAAGTCCTATGCATGGGACGTAAAGACTGGAAGAAAAACACTTCAAGCACCAGTACTAGTTGGTTTTAAGTGGGACTATAGGTAACTGTCTTTCCTTATTCTTTTCTATACATTTCCTAGATTAAAAAAGAAAAATACATGTGACTGTTATAAAGAATAAACTTGGCTCGGCGCCTATAGCTCAGCCGGCTAAGGCGCCAGCCACGTACACCTAAGGTGGCGGGTTCGAGTCCCCAGCCCGGACCCGCCAAAACAACAATGACGGCTACAACCAAAAAATAGCCGGGCGTTGTGGCGGACGCCTGTGGTCCCAGCTACTTGGGAGGTGGAGGCAGGAGACTCGCTTGAGCCCAGGAGTTGGAGGTGGTTGTGAGCGTGATGCCACGGCACTCTACCCAGGGGGACAGCTTGAGGCTCTGTCTCAAAAAAAAAAAAAAAAAAAAGGAATAAACTTACTTTCAGGCTAAGTAAATTTAGAAAGAAATAAATTATAAGCCCACAGCCACTCACCCCAGCTGGTGAATTCCCATTTCATCTGCACATAGAAATCTGGAGCCTAAAGGGCAGACACAGGTTTAAGTTAGATTACCTCAGGCACTACTAACTAAATACAAACATGGCAAGGGTTAATAGGTTTTCTTTTTTTAATTTTAAACCTGGGTTTAAAAAAAGTGAGGGGACAACAGAAAAAAAAATGAACAGAAACATAAATGTAAGCCCATTACTTATTTTGTATTCAAGCTATTATTTTACTCTGATATAAAATATGTCTATAGAGTTACAAGAAAGCAACAATACTGGAGAGGAATAAAAGTCAAACCTGGTTTAGAGTTCAATTAGTTTCCTCCTGCCACTAACAAAAGATGAGCCTGGACGGTGGCCTTAACCACTGCCACCCAAAGTGGGCAACAGCCTATTCTCAGCAAAGAGAAAGGAATGTAAATTCATCTCTTCTGCAAGGAATTTTAGTGTAAAAGGCTTCCTGTGCTAGGAAGTCCTTTACATGGATGGGCCTACTCTGTGAAACCAAAGACACTGCTAGACATCACTTCCCCAGGAAGCTGCGTTTCCCTCCAGTTAACAGAAAATATTGCCCCACTCTCTTAAACTTGTAGAATTTGGCTTTCTGAAGTTTTATGACACCAAAGCAGCCCTATTTAGGATTATTTTCTTACCTACCCTAAATTATTAGAGGTTCTTTTTTTAAACCCTTTTTCTTTCTCTCACAGTCTCTCAACAATAGAAAGTTCTTGAAGATTAAGAAATCCAACAGTTACCATCTAAGAAGAGAAATGCCAGAAATTCCAGGTGTATTCCTGTTCCCTACACCTCCACCTTTGCCATGGTTTTTATAGTAGCACAGAGCACTAAGGCCAAGAATCTACTCTGGAGTAAAACCAGCCAGGATCCCAATGATGTACAAAGATAACCTCTAAGAGATAACTGAGACAGTGATAAAAAGTCTGGCAAATATTATAAAGAGACACAGTCAAAAGACAAGATTTCAATAATAGCTTCTGGTGCCTGTAAGTACACAGCCATTTATGGGGTGTCTATACTCCATGCAGAGAATACAATTCAATGCAGTCTACTGACATGGATCAATATAGTTAAAATAGAAAATCCTTTACACTGAATTCTTTAAATGAAGAGAGACCCATGTTAGATAAATCATTTTCTCATTTGACAAAAGGCAAATGACGAAGTGCCTCCTGCAGTAAGTTAGACAACAAATCTGTATGATCTTTGCACACTCATAAATATACACCTATTTTTTGGAGTGTTGTCTTTAGTTATTTAGTTATTTACTTTGGATTAATATGAGGGCCCATACAATTAGGTTACATTGTTTGCATTTGTTAAGTAATATCCAAGTTGTTACTGAGTCTTTCACCCAGAAAGTGTGCTATATACCCCTACATTGTATTTTTTAGGTGGGAATTTACCAAGCCCCCTTTCCCCCTCCTACCTCTCCCCTTCATGAATTTAGTCCTGTTTTTCTCTCACACATACAACTATTACATATTTCATGGAAGGCTTCCTTTTGGTACATAGGAATTGAATACTTTAGGCATGATTTAGCTTAAGTGCTATAGAATTTTTTTTTTTTTAGATAGTCTCACTTTGTCACCTTGGGTAGAGTGCCATGGCATCATAGCTCACAGCAACCTCAAACTCTTGAGCTCAAGCAATCCACCCACCTCAGCCTTCCAAAGTACTAGGATTACAGGTATGAGCCACTACACCCAGCCAGAATTTTTTTTATAGAGTGCTCAAATAGGCTCGGCGCCTATAGCTCAGCAGCTAGGACGCCAGCCACATACACCAGAGGTGGCAGGTTTGAATCCAGCCCAGGCCTGCCCAACAACAACTGCAACAAAAGAAATAGCCGGGTGTTGTGGCGGG